TGAAATTAGTTGGTCTCAGCCCTGGTGTCTAGTGGCACTCTCAATAGAAAAGCTCAGAAGAGACTGAGTAAAAACATCCATTCCAGGTTGGGTTTGGGGCTGCCATTGTCTAATTTTTTCACATGGAGAGAAAGAGATCAAGCTATCAGGTAGTAAAACAACACAAGAGGTGTGTTGAAAATTAACTGTGAATTGTAACCATTCTATTGAAGGAATATAAGAGATAAAATGACACTTGTCATTTGCACATTGGCCAGCCTTAGAACTGAGGATGCATTAGGAAAATACAAATTGCCAGACTGGATCAGAGGTTCTAGTATCCTACACCTGAAAGTCATCATACTTCCCAGAAAGGTGCAATTGCAGTTGACAATCATAAATAACTAGTACATAGGGGAAGATTTTTATTGATCTGCATTGGCAACTGGTTGTTTTATGCCCTAAAGCAGTGTTTCTAAACCTGTGGGTCGTGACCCAAAAGTGGGTCACAAGAATATATGAAAGGGCACAAATGAACTTTAAAAATGAATCCAGAAACTTTAAAAATGGATTCCCCTTTAAAGGAGAAAATCATGGGAAACTGTGGCTTTTCCCTTGCAGGCTGGCAGAGCTCCAGCCTGCAAGGGGCTTCTTGGGGCTCCCAGTTCCCCATGCACCCACCCCCACATGCTGGGGCGGGGGCTGGGGGCAGGAAGCACTGGGTTGGGAGAGAGGGGCACTGGGTCAGGACTGGCCATTGATGTTTACAAATGGGTCCTGGGACAAAAAAGGTTGATATCCACTGCCCCAAAACATAAGAGCTTGTGTCATTTGTATTTTCTTTCTAGGGAAACCATGGATGTTCTCCTGATGACTATTGTTTATAGCAGTGGTACTCAACCTTTTCACCCCACAGGCTAGATGAGTGGCCCTAGGGTCCAGCACCACCCCCTTCAACCTCCTGCATGATAGGATTAGTTCTGGGGGGGCTGGCACTGTCCCTTTCTGCCTTGCATGCTGAGATCAGGTTCCAGATCCAGCACACATGGCGTGGGGATCCCCCTGGGTCCAAAGATTTGGCAATAGGGGAGCAATGCTACCATTTCTCTGCTGCCAAATATCCAGCCCCATGGGCCAGATGACATGGGCCAGAGCTTGAGCACTCTTAGTTTATAGCAAAGGAGTCACCTTCTGAATCCTATCAAACTCTTGGGCTTCATGATGTCTTTTGACAGTGCATTTCACAGTTTACATGTAATTGAATATGCTCTTCTTGTATCATAAGGAATTACCGTCTCTATGTCATACTAGACACAAAAATTATTTGAAAGGAACATTAATTTTGCAAGATCAAATGCTCAGTTGTTATGATGTCCCAAAGTGAAACTTCTCTATTCAACCTTAATTCCAACCATTTGTATATGCAAATATTATAGACTTAAATTACGTGACCACCTCTATTTTTTTTAATAGGACCCACACCTCATTCAGTGCACAGAATGATCAATGAATTCTTCTTGTTCAATGTGTGACCCCAGATCTTACTTAGCACAATGTATTCAAATCCTGCTCTAATAAGAGAATCATTAATTTGCTTGTGGACTTTTCCATTATAGCACCACAGCACTTTACCAGTATATCTTTACAATGTCCCTATAAGGTAAGATCATATTATTCCCAACTCATCTCCATGCTTCTGACCTGGCTCTGTATTCATGTCCCAGCTCTTCCTACTTCTGCAGCTCCACAAAACTAATCCTCACCAGTGCTGCCATCTCCCTAAGCCATTTCCCTCACTACTCAGCCTTTGAATTTGGTTGATTCCTTTTTTTCTTTCCCTCCTTACTTACCTGAGTGTCTGGCAGTTGAGTACTGACAGCACAAGATATACAGTTAATTCATTGTTTTCCATACCAAATGGCCTCCTCACTGCCAGGAGGGACAATGACAGGGAACTGCTCCCTACAGCTCCTAGAGCACGCTTACTCCTTTGGAGAGTCTTTGGAGAGGTTAGCTGCCAAACTCTACTGATTTTTACTGCCAAGCACATGAACATTTGGCTCAAAACTTGGGCTTGCATCAGCACATGGGATAAGCTTCTCATGGAAACAGCAGTAACATTTTTCAGTGTGGTCAAAACTATGTATTTTTCCTTCATGCCGTTCTAGGAAACCACGGGAGCATTGTTGGTGAAATTTTTAGAAATATTTTCATCCTGAAGCAGACAGCAAGCATAAAATATTCCAGACCAAACATTTAAAGTTTGGCCGAGCTATAAACAACTAAAACAGAGGTTTGTAATAGGAAACCTTAACTATTGGCATCACTACCTGCACAGTCCATAGTTAATAGCCCCTCTTATTCATTTAGGTGAAACCACAGTCTCACTAAAATTGATGGGAATTGCACCATTGACTTTAATACAGCCAGGATTTTACCTCTGCTCTCTGCAAAAAAAAATCCCAATAGTGTCTGTCTCATTTATCATTTTCTCACTTGAGGCTCTTTTTAATAACATCCTCATTTTATTTTTAACTTTCTCTTTCTACGTGATACCTGTTAGTTTCGCCTCATAACATCAAAGATTATTCCCATATTTTTCATGCTCCATGTGCATAAATCCCATAACCTTAACAGGATTTACATGCACAATCACTAAAAATCAGTTACAAAAAGTGATCTGCAGAGGTCTAGCCATGTCATTTTCATTGACTGGAGCATAGGTTTCAGAGACTCAAGTCTTACCCCAAGACCATTAACAAGATCATATTACAAACATTTCCAAGCACACAGAAATGAGTGAATATTCTGTGCAGTGCACAGGGAATTAGTTATGCAGCTTCTAACATGGTTTATAAGATTTCTATAGCTAAAATCCTAAATTGCCCACTGAACATTTACTTTGTAACATACTGAGGCTGGGATCAAATCTTGAGGTGTGGAGGATTTCCATTAATGAGGACTCCCCTTTAAACAGTCAAAAGCGAATAGGTCCCACGATGTCTGTTCATGTTTTACATACACATTACTTTTTACAGCCATAAACCTTTTGGAGTTATCAGTAAGCATGACCTATGGAGCTGAAGGCATCATTTTGTACTCTATCTTATAAAAACAATGGAGACATTAGGGTTTATTATTTTATAAATCCCAAATGTTATAAACATACATATAAACCAAATATATTATATTTAAATAGATATTTTCCTCAAAGTTTTAGCACTAAAAGCATTTGTGTTTAGATCTATGTGAGTTTAAGAAACATAAACAAGTTCAATTCATCGTCACCAGCACCTTTGACTAAAAACATACACAATTTTACTTTTCAAAAACTCTCCAGTGAAAACTACTAAATTAGAAACTAGACTTGTTAACAAAAATAGACAAAAAGCCTGGGATAGAATTTGAAGAATCTATCACCTTTTGTTTCAGAGATGGTCTAACCCTACAAATCTCAATATTCCCCAAACAGCTTAGATCCACACTTTGATCCTGATTCAATGACACACATACATGTTTGACTTCAAGCATGTATGCAGGTCTGATTGAGGCCAACAAGACCATGATTAAGGCCCAGATCTACAAAGATTCTTAGGTGTCTAATTCCTACATAGGCACCTAACTCAAACTGAAATGATTTTATGGTTTGGGCCTAAATTCTGGGGGAGAGGGGAAGGGGGAGAAGAAGCTGGGGGCAGAGGGCAGGAAGGGGAGCAGAGAGAGGGGGAAGAGGAGACCCAATACTGCAAGTGGGCTAGCAGAGAGAAGAAGTAGTAGGGGCAGATAAGTAGGAGGTAAGCTGCTTGATCTCCCCATATCACCTGCCTCCCCACATTACCTGTCCCACTACAACAGTTGGAAGCATAAATGGAAGATGACACTCCAATAATTCAATTCTGTACAATGGAAATTATACTAAATGTATACATTTTCTATGTATAGAATCTAATTATTGTGGGGGTCGTTCTAAATTCAGGGTCTTAGATTCAAGTAAATATGGTAGATGGCAGCATATCCTACCTACTTAGCAGGAATAATAATAAAAAAAGATTGGAGCTGTATCTCAACAAGGACATTTGCAGGCAATGTCCAGACTAAGGCACTGAACCTTTCACACTTTCACCTAATGATGTAATGGGATCTATTCTCTGATCTGAACAATTGCATCTTATGTCATGCCATACATGCATGGGACGTGATTTTAGGATCAGGAATCAGATGCCAGTTGTACCATTACTATCTGCCAGTGTGGAGGGAACCCAGGATCAAGATCCTGGACTCCCCCTGCACATACTAGCAGAAGGCAAGTTGTCTGTGAACTGCTAATCAGCTGAATGTGGGGCTTAGCCTTGGAACCGCACTGGGGCTGGTCCCAGAGCCCCATCATACAGTGAGCATCAGGCTGGATGGCGGTGATCCTGCTACACCTTCAATTTAAGGTCTGATGGAAATCAACCACAAAGTTATTATACGTATTCTGCAGAATAACTTTCTGACTTGTTTCCCATTTTATCATGCTGTTAATTATATGAATGTGTGGCTGGGTTACTATTTAAGAGGTGATTAACTGGTTAATCACATCTCACACAGAACGTGTATACCAGGGGCCCAAGAAACTGCAGGCAGTACCAGTAATGAGCAAATAAGTAGAGTATAGAGAGGAGGCTCTATATCAGTGACAGGCAAACCACAGAAAAAGAGGATTGGTTTTTATGGCCAGTACCCAGATGCCTGCATGAAAGGAGAAAGGATTCACAATAGGAATATTTATATTGTAAGTAATACAACAGACACTTTAGAAACAATCCCAGCAATTTTGAATTGAAATAATTTGAGATCATAATCAACTTTTTATAGAAAAGAGCTTTGTAAGTATGTTAGTTTTACTTAGCTGGTAAATAAGAAGTGAAGTGTAGCTACTTGGATGTCAATAACAAACAACTAAAAAAAAATCCTTGTATATGTTTACATGGAAATTAATCCAAATTGGATCTTAATTTTTTTTAATAATTGTATATATTGGACATGGGAACTGGTACTTTTCACATGCCAAACCCTCCATAATGAACTTCACTCTACTGTCAAGACTCCATTGGAAAATGAGAATAACTCCAGCACGTTTGCTGCTAGGATTGAGTGTACAATTTGGCCCTTTGTCTCACTCCAGAAACAAAACATTTAAAGATCTGAAGGGCTTTGAAGATTGTAGATAGGAAGATTTAATAAATGAAATAGCTTTCTCCGCTGAGGTTGCACCTTCTTTGTTGGGTGTAATTGAGGCTCATTTGAACCATATGTTCACAAACATTCTTACAGTCTTACAAATACAGAGCCTCATTCTGCTCTCACTTACATACATATATATCAGATGTAACTCCGCTGAATTTGAAGAGTTACACTGGTAGGAAGAAGCATAGGGAAGAGGACCAACAGGTCCATAGTGTCCCTCAACAGTATTCTGATAAAAAAAAAAGTTACCTTATTCTACTGTATCATATTCCTTTAGAGAAAGGCACTTCCATCCTGGTTGTCCTTGCTCTAAAGCTGTTTTCATGAGTTTTGTGCATGTAAACAGAGAACAAAATATCCCAAATTACAGCAAAAATCATCTAGAAGATATTTGTTTCTAATGAATAAGTATCAGTCTGAGTGTCCCTTCAGTTGCAAGGTATTGAAATTAGTAGTACTGACCTTTAAAGTGACATTAAAAATATAAGAGACTCTTTAGCAGTGGTACATTCACCACTGATACTTCCAAGCAGAGATGATGAAGAAAGCCTGGCAAGGTAGCTTGTTTGTTTCGTTTCATTTAATGTACAGTTTTTAAGAAAATGTTCCTTCAGTAGTCTGTAAGCTTCAATTCCCACTGAAGCCACTCTACCCCACCTTCATCTCAGACCAAGAATTCCTTAATCTGGCTGCATTAAGAGGCTGGATGATGCTGGGGTATGAAGCTCACTTTCCAACAAGGGAACGGAGCTGATGTTCCAGTGAAGCTGGTGAGGGCTCCTTTCTGCATCACCAGACTGCGGTGGCTCCCTTCCACTGGAAAGCTGTTGTGGACAGCCTTGCTCTCGTCCCTCTTCTGCTGACATCTCTGCTTCTGTGTCATATGCTGGAGGCTGCACATGTGCTGCATAAAGTAAGAAACCTATCGTGTAAAGCCATTTATAACTTTCAAATGTCTAAGCAAGAAGACATGTAGGAACCTTGAGAAAGAAGATCTGAAAACTAAAATAAAATAAAATTACTAATATTGTATATAATTGTAAACTAAACAGTGTTAAAAGAGCCTGAAAGGCCACAGAGCCATACACTCTATAATTAGGAAATTATTGAGATTTTTTTTTTAAAAGTGACTTTTCAAAGTCATATTTCTTAGCCACAATTTGAGAGAGTTTTTTCCCCACCAGAATAAGAAAAGGCACATCCCTGATTGAAAGGCCTCCTACTTGCCAAATTTCAAATCTCTGCTCCAGGCTGAAAGTATTAGATCTACTCTATGATACAATGTAAAAATTTTACTTTAACACAAGCAAATCAACATATTTTTCATAAATCTCATTCATTTTCTGAAACAGCTATGTTTTTAAAATATTCACCCTAAGCCCAAAACCTAGTATGCAAAATGACCCATAGTTAAATCTGTTATAACATTATAAGTTTCTGAAAACTGGGTACTATAATGGGAAGTGTAAGGCACCCTAACTGTAGACCATGCAACTAGATCTATCTATAATACTGAATGAGAATGCTCTGTATATATAGTCCTTCATCCAAACTTCTCAAAACACTAGAAGAAAAGTATATAAGCATCACTGCCATTTTCCAGATGTATTAACTGAATTGCACAGAAGTGCTTGGTGCCAGACACTTTTGAAAGTCCCACAAGGAGCCATCTCTAGGCACTAAAAATACCTTTGAAAATTTAGCCATATCTTTATAAAAACACTCTACACTTGTTAGTAGCAATCTGTCGGTGCCATCATGCTGTGTTGCTCTAAGAGTGTCAACTATAGTTGCTGTGAACATCAGGTTCCCTCATCACTGCTGTAGGTATGAGTAAAATATGAACAGTAAGAAGATTACTACAGTATACAAAGCTTGTTGTCTGTCTGTCACCAGTTAATATTCAACCCTAGTCAACAGTTAGGGAATCCATGGCTTGACCCCAACCCAGACCTGCAGGGGAAAGGCCCAGCCTCAATCCAGATGTAGGGGAAAGGTTGTAGCCCAGCTGTGACCAGCAGTGGGGAGTTTGGGGTTTGGGCTTTCGGCAAGGGAAGGGCGAACATATTAATAGCTACCACTCCCCCCCCTACCAAATTTCCTTCCCCATGGGGAGCTCCACGGATCAGGTGCAATGGTTCTGTTGAATGCATTTGGCTTGTGGGCTGAAGGTTGAGCACCACTATGCTAGATCAATAAGGTTCATGAAAGAGCCAAATTCAACTATTCTTGATGTAAGGGACTTTACACCTTGTCTAAGGCAGCAAGCAAGGAGATGCATCCAGATCCAACTTGAATTAGGATCTGGAACCAACTTCCAAGCAAAGTGGTGCTGGCTTCTACCCTGGGGGCCTTTAAGACAAGGCTAGACAATCACCTTACTGGGGTCGTTTGACCCCAGTACTCTTTCCTGCCATGGCAGGGGGTCGGACTTGATGACCCTACTAACTATGAAACTATGAAACTATGAATGCTGCACCTGAATCTAGTGGAGAATCAGTCAGAGAGTGTATTTATAGCTATATTTTTATATATAGCTATAAAAGGTTCAGTGTTCCTAACACTACAGAAAATGTTATTGGACCCAAAGGAGTGATATGAAACCACTGGGAGAGAGCATCAGTGACATCAAAAAAGTGGTCTTTGTTAAAATAAGAGAACAAGGTTTATGGTATGTTTGCAGGTAAAACTGATGCACTTTTTCATCCAGAAACTAAGGATTTAATGGAGTGTTTCAAAAAGGCTTCCCTCATGATTCTCCTGACAGAAATATTCACACTGCAGTAGGCATCTCACTTAAGGACCACCTCAACCTGTAAACTTTAAAATGTTTAAAATGTAAACAACTGTTTACCCCTCTCTCAAGTAGAAAGATGGTGCTTACACCTCAAACAAGACTGTGCTTGCCAGAATATTTTATATTACAACTCCAAGCTGTCCATGAAGATACAGAAATGTGAAGCTGCCTTGCTTAGGAGCCAGAAATGACCTTTTCCTCCTTGTCTAACTACTAATGTAAATGTGCTTCACTTAATTAGATTTTCATCAGGTCATACTCTGCTTCCATAGCCACTGGATTTTTTAAGAGGCTCTCAAAGACTGAAAAACAATCTCACTCACCAGGTTCTGAAATGCAGGAGGGTCCTAGCTCTGCTGTCTCACACTCAATTAACTCAACAGCTCTAGCTCCCTTGTATCCATTACAGGCCGTCACAGCAACGAGCTGCAAGAAAAAAACAACACAAATATTCCTGTAACACAGCCTGCTATTTTTCTTGATGTATAGTGAAGCATACCCTTCCACTGTGCCTGGGTAGCAAAATACTCAGCCCGCATGGTAGAGCAAAATGCCTACTTTCTTCTGGAGTGACTTCTCCCCTTTCAAGTAAGGAAATGAGCTGATGACCTAGAGGAGTGGTGCCCAACCTCCAGCCCTGGCCCACAGTTCCATATCCAGCTCACAAGACTCCCTGTGGGTCCAGAAATTTGACAGCAGGGGAGTAGCGGCAGTGTCAATTGCTGCTCCCCTGCTTCCTAATTTCTGGACTGTGGGGAGCCTTGTGGGCCAAATGACATGGCGCTGTGCACTAGATCACTGGTCTGTGGTGAGGCCAGCACATGCCTGTATCTGACATGCAAGATTTAGCCAGCATACTCCCTGCATGTTGATCCCATGCACAAGATTCTGCTTTTTCACTCAGCCTCTCAGGATTTGAAAAGACTGGACCTGAAACCCACCCAGAGGCTCTGCCCTCCTAGAAGGGCTTGAATCCATATTTTGTTAAGTATTTACACACCCAAAATGCAGACAGAAACCATCAGAGATGATCCCAGCACCTAACTCCAATTGATTTCAGAATTAAGCCCTTAGGGCACTTCGACACATGCTGGGAGGCTGCTCCAATGCACTGTAAATCCATCACATTGGAGCAGACCCAATTAATGGAGTCTTCTTCAGCGCAGAAATTAATGCACTCCAGCAGCCTCCAGGATCACGTGTATCAGCATCCCTGCACTGAAAAAGGGAGGTGGGGCACTTTGAGCATGTAGAATGAGCTTTAGTTCAAAGTGCCCCGCTGTTGCTTTTTCAGCACAGGAACACTGACACACATGATGCTCAGGCACTTTTAATTAATGCAGCTTGCTTATTGAAGCACCCCCCTGCCTCCTGGAGCTCATCTATAAATGTTCGTAGGCTTTTTAAAAATACTATTAGGTGCCCATCTACATCTTTAGCTACCTAGATATCTTTATAAACCTGACTGTAACACCTCTCTTCTCTCTAGAAAGCTATACTTCAGATGCTCACTATCACAGAGACAGCTCTCCAAAGCAAACAAGCTGCAGCTCAGAACGGGGTGGAAATCTTTCAGAGTAGGCCGGGAAAGAAGCAATTTTCAGAACATACCCTGTGGGAATAAAAGCTCTAAAGGGAAGGCAGCCTCAAGGGAGCCAAGTAACCTTAATAGGGTGGTGAGACTCAGAGAGTGTAAAAGAAAGAGGGGTAGTGAACTGAAGAGGGAAAATTACAAAAATATAGAAGAAAGGGGAAATTGATAGGGGTAGAAAAGATGATCAGAGGTGAGCCTGGGAGAAGGGTACACAAGGGTGCTGAGAGATGAGCTGATAATTTTATCATGTTGAGTGGCAAATTGATGAGTTAATGAAAAGACCATGCAAGTGTATCAGGAGATATATATATATATAGAGAGAGAGAGAGAGAGAGAGAGAGAGGGAGGGGGAGGGAGAGAGAGAGAGAGAAAATAGTGCATGGTCTACTTGCATGGACTCATTTGCCTAAAAGACTAGCCAACTATAACAGACATGATGAGCTCTGAAGGTGATGCAACAACAGCCTTGCAAAATGTCTGCAATTGTGTAAAGTGAAACAAAAATTGCTGGATGACAGGCCTCAGGACAGCTTCAATACCCAGGACAGGCTTATCCAGACATTTGCCAAACCACTCCCAAGCCTGGAACCAGTGGTATAACAGTGGCAAGCAGATCACGAACCCTAGGATGCCACCTAAAGGGAAGCACTGGAATGAAGATAGGGTGGTTCCTCACCCTCTTGTTCTCCCCTTCTTCCCATGTATCTTCTACCTTCCCTGAAGCAGCACCAGCTTGTGTAAGAAAAATACATAACTCACAGGTGACAAAACACTAAGAAAACATTATTGGGGTAGCTTTGGTCCCTGATTATATGGCAAATGATTTGAGGTGGTGGGAAAACACTAAACACTTTGCACACCTGCAAACTCATCAGGTTTATGTGAGCTGTAAGACATGACCAAATAGTGATAGAAGGATGGAAGCCAACTTGCAGTTAGCCTTGAAATAAGAGTGTAGATCCCATCCCCTAAACTTCACTTTGGGTGCAGGAACACCAAACAGTCCTACTGAATTAAAAGGGTGCAGAAGGATTTACCACTTATTAAGATGAACCATTATAGCTGTTTCATGTTTCTGTTCTATCCTGCCATAAGTGAAAGCTCAATAACTGTAATTTAGTGATCATTTCATTCATAGGTAAACTGCCCTGGTTTAACTTCTACTTATTGTGGGATGGAATGGACATACAAAATAGTTACCTTCAATTAGCTACCATGGTTTAAATCCTTCCCTCTCCCCACTTTTACCTTGGTCTAAATGTTTCATCTGTTCATCCCTTAGTTAGCTACACAAACTGATTTTCATATAAGCACAGATAAAGGAGTAGCCTCTAAGTCAATGGTTCTCAGCCTTTTGAGGCTCAGGGCACCCCTGGATAGATCTGAGGTACCCTTGGATGGGCTTGAGGTACCCCTCAGAAAATGCCAGCTCCCAGTTTTCTTTTTTTTTTTACTACAGAAAAATAATAGAGTTGATTTTCTGTAGCAAAAAACTCAGAAAGGCCACTAGTAGGGATCCCTATTTGAAATCTCTGGGTTCTTGTGAGTTGTGTTTGCAAACCTAACAGTGCTAGCATTGTGAAGCACCCTGCTGCACCCTTGAAAGGTTTTCAAGCACCTCAGTGTGATGGCACCATAGTTGAGAATCACTGCTCTAAGTGAACCGTGGAAATGGATTACTGCCCACTCCTTTTCTGGGCAATAATGCCATTCCAGTCCCAAGTGCTTGTGAAGACCCCATGGTATTTAATTCTCTTCACTACATCTCCACTGAAAAAACTTCATGCATGATCCGAAGTAATCAATTACTTGTAAAGTAATCAACAAAATATCAGTGATTGCTTATCTGAGCCAGCAACAAGTCATTTGCAGTGAGTTACTTATATTAATATATATTTTACAGTGCCCTAAGATAAAAATGCAGGTGGTGCCATTCTTCCCTAGAATGTATATAACAGCTGAGTTGGTCAGATTCAATTTTGTCTCAGTCCGCTGTTTAGCTGCTTCATTACACCCATACTCAATAAAAATGTCATTAGCTGTTGGTATTAATTGCAGTGACAACTGCTAGTGAGGGCAATGTTGATCAGCTGTAGGCCTCCTATTGCACAGACTCAAGCCACCACGCTGTTCTCAGTTCCAACAAATGTTTCTGATTTCCCAAGCACTAGATACTTTGCAAACTTTATTTTTCTTCTCCCCCATGAACAAATGCTGGCATGGCTAAGATCCATCATACTTGTTATCTGATACCTGCCGGAACAAAGTGCTGACTGGCTTGGCAGCTGAAATGTTGGTAATAAAAGGTCCACAGGAGCAGGAGTTCTCATCAACTAAGGAACTATTTCATACCACAACTCTAGGCAAGTCTATTTAATACTCTTTGCATATATTTGATTGCATGTTTCTATGACCACCCAGTTAAAAATACAGCCAGACCTTTGAGCCAGTCCATTTGTAAAATATCATTCTGGCATTGATTAAAAATATTCTGAGCCACAGTTCAGGATATACGCATTACATGCTCTTTAAAATGCTTCATCCCTTCACAGATATATCAGTCTATGAAGACACTGAAATCTCTCTGGACTTACAGATTTGAGGCAATAGTTTAAAACAAACATTATAAACAGGCTAATCAGACCTATAAAATGGTGTTTTTACGGGGCCAAAGTTTTTCTCAGACGTGAATTCAACCCCAGAGATGTCAACAGAGATGGACCACAGGGAGAATTTGTATCCTGCGTTAGGACAAAAGGATTAGAAGCATGTATTATATTTTCTCTCCCTCTCCACCAAAGTCACCATATAATATATTGATTATTATTCTTTCTGAGGCTGCTTCTGATACAAAGGCATTTAGTGGCATCAAACGCCAAAATAAAATTCAACATCTCACATAGCATGCAGAATGCTTGGCTTCCAAGAAACCCTGTAAAGGGAGGGCATAGTTTCCTGTGAAAATATCTCAGTGATATGCCATGTCATCCCATTGCCATTTCCTTAATTTAGAACACAGTGCCCCAACTGTTGTGTTCAAAGCTAACAATAACACTGGCTAATGGTTGCAATACATTCAGGCAGCTGTGAACTTAGAGGGATAACAATGAGGTAAGATGAACTAGGGTTCACAGCAAAGCACTTGATGACTCTAGCAGTCATTTAATATATTTAAGATGTGAATTATTTGATGGATAATCTCAAGTGGATCCCTAATGTCCTTTGATCCTTCTTACTTCCCTCTCCAGTCCATATTAAAGTAGTTACCCGAGGCTTGTTGCTGGTAGGTGTCACGTTCTCACTGTCAGCACTGCTGCTGCTGGCATCTCTTATCGCTTCTGCATAGAGATTCTTCTTATAGAAGTTCTGACTTCTGCAAGAGAAGAAAAGCTCAGACAAATTAACTGCTGTTGGAAAAAACAGATGTAGCTTTGCTTTTATGCTTTACTCGGTTGGTGAATGGTAATATTTTGCAAATGTTTGCCAACGAAGGGATATATTTTGCAAATGTTTGCCGATGAAGGGATATATTTTGTTTTCTGTCAAACAGATCAATTTATACATTATTGCTAATTTCAAATTCATGGTTAAATAAAAATGGAGTTTATAACAGTAGAATGTACTGACAACAGGGAGTACAGAGGTAAATGTTTTGTACCAATGCAGCATGGATAGTATGCTGTTTCTGGGTCTCACCAACAACCTGGAAGATGGGACGGAGTGCACTCTCAGCCAGTTTGCAGATGGCACCTAGCTCAGGGGTCTAGATACTCTGGAGGGTAGCGCTAGGATCCAGAGCGACCTCAACAAATTGGAGGACTGGGCCAAAATAAATCTCATGAGGTTCAATAAGGAAAATTGCAAAGTCCTGCACTTGGGATGAAACAATCTCATGCACTGGAACAGCCTGGGGACTGACTGGCTGAGCACCAGGTCTGCAAAAAAGGACCTGGGGGTTACAGTGGACAATAAGCTGAATATGAGCCAACAGTGTGTCCTTGTTGGGAAGAAGGCTAATGGCATACTGGGCTGTATTAATAGGAACACTGCCAACAGACTGAGGTAAGTAATTATTTCCCTCTATTTGGCACTGATGAAGCCACGTCTGAAAAGCTATGTCCACTTTTGGGTATCTGCTACAGAAAGGATGTAGACAAATTGGAGAGAGTCCAGCAGAGAACAATGAAAAAGGTTAGGGGGCTGGGGCACATGACTTGTGAGGAGAGGCTGAGGGAACTGGGCTTATTTAGCCTGGAGAAGAGACGGCTGAGGGGGGATTTGATAGCAGCCTTCAACTACCTGAAGGAGGCTTTCAAAGAGGATAGAGCTAGATTGTTCTCAGTGGTGGCAGATGACAGAACAAGGAGAAATTGTCTCAAGTTGCAGAAGGGAAGTTTAAGTTATATATTAGGAAAGCCTCTCTCACTGGGAGGGTAGTAAAACACTGGAACTGGTTACCCAGAGAGGTTGTGGAACCTTGGAGGTTTTTAAGATCTGGCTGGACAAAGCCTTGGCTTGGATGATCTAGTTGGGGATGGTCCTGCTCTGAGCAGGAGGCTGGGCTGCATCACCTCCTATGGTCCCTTCCAACCCTAATTTTCTATGATTCTATGCTTACAAAAGAAATAGAAAACTCTGATAAGGAAATGGAAAGGAACAGTTAAGATAGAAAAATTTGGTTGCTTACAATTTTGGCATTTTTTCCCATCATTAAGATATTTAGAGCTACCCATATGCAAATTGTATAACTGTGTCTTGTCACAGAAATTGTGCTTGTATCTCAGAAAAGCAAATCCAGATGTTATCCTGCACACTCATTTGAGTGTTTGCAGTTCTGGAAATCCATCTCTGCAATTACTGATGTGTGGTAATTCATACAAAACTATGACTAACCTCTGAAAATACTATAAGGAAAATATAAATAATACAAAGTCCTCAAAATTCTAAAAACTAAAATTGGTGCAAGCCTACCATGGATAATTATATAAGAGAAGAACTGTTTAGTTCAAAAAAAGAGCCAACAATACCATTAAGAGGCAAAACTAGGATACAAGTAAACAGATCTAAGTAGTCAGTTTCAAAGTTCAGACATGCAGTTGTTTTAGCAGTTGGAAGCTAATTCTACAGTACAAGGCTGCAGATTAACATGGAGACAAGTCAGAAAACCATCCATAAGGGAGGGCCTGGGACTGTAGGCAATATATATATATGTGATAGACCACACCTACATCATCAATCATGTAAACTAATTTAATCATCATTTCTTTAAAATGTAATTCAGGATGTTTTCCAATTAGCTCTAGTAGAAACCGAGGCTGATTCTAACTGCCTTTGGTTAACTCTCCTGATGATGAAATTTAATAGTTGATCTAAATCAAGGAAAATGAAAATTTCCCTCTTCATTTTTATCCTGAGCTTATATATGAATTAGAAAAATGAACCATTCCAATAATTGTCATATTTTGCTACATTTATATAAGTTAAATATGAAGCAAGAACTGGCTCCTGATGGAGATGAGAAAAACCCATCTCCACCATTGATAAGTACCTCCTGATCATAACTGCTGATCAGCCTAGAGATAAAAAGGGAAGTTAAGTAGATGTGTCTTGCACCTAATGCTAAATGCCATCAAACCAGGTCTCTGTCATATCACCAAAGGAAGTTAATTAAAAAACTAAGGCCACTCCCCACTAGTGTTTGCTGAAGGCACCCAGGAGCTCAATCCTGGAAAGCTGTTGCATGCCCCAAGAAAGGATAGACATGCAAAAGTGTGAACTACTAAATTCTCTAGTCACGTCAACACTTTATATCCACAGAATAATGCCACATAATGTCTACATAATAACAGAGACCTCTGTGTGTAACTTTGAGAAGAAGCAGGAAGAGCCAGGTGAGTGAGAACAGGCTATGAGCCACAGACTTCTCAGTCCTAATTCTAGCTCTGCCAATGACTTGCTCTAGGACCTTAGCCAAGTCCCCTTTCTTGTGTGTGCTTTAGTTTTTCCCCCTTTGGAAAAGAGGGATATTATTTTCCAGCTTCACTAGGGGGACAGGAGGCTTATCCACCTCCTATCATCTTAGAAATGTAAAGAGCTATGGAGTATCATTGATAATAATTCTATTCTACCTGACTAGATCCACTGAACATATTGATGCCATATATCAGTTGTTGTAGTTTCTAGATCATACATTTTTGGAATGAGCCAATATGGATATTCTAATTTAGGTTCTGGCAAGAATCCTATTAAACAAGAGATAAGTTTGCATCTGGGGAGGAGGGTCAGGGTGTCACCAATTTAGTCAATATGTCTCAAAATATACTAGGCAATGAGCAAAAGTGAAATTGTAATTCCAATCCAAATATTGGTTTCCAGGCTCCAGTTAAATAGGGATTTCAGATCAGCAGTTTCATTTTGATCTAGTTAGGCTAGTAATAGTTGTAGTACAAATTCAGTCAAGCATGTAATTGAAAACTTGCTCTTGAGGTAAACAGTTATATTGATCAAAACCATTTGCTAAAGAAGAAAAGTAAATCAGGGCAAAATGACAAAAGGGATTTTAAGGAGATGAAGCTCTGCGAAAAAGAAAAAAAAAAGAAGAGGAAGAAAATGATAGTGTGTGAATGGGCATTCTTATACCTTAAAGCCAGCTGTATATTTGGCTTTAGTTTCAATACACGATACATAAAGAATCTAAGAAACCTGAGAGTCGTATATTTATTCCATATACATCATTCAGCTGATTTGGCTTTTGAATCCCAAGTCAGGAGAACAGACCAACCTGCAATTAGCTTTAAATCCAGAGCTCTAAAATCAGTCAATAGAACATGAGAAATGTGCCAGCACTTCCAGCTCTGTGGCCTAATATGCTATGAACTGTTAAATAAGAATAAAGAATATTATAGTAACTTCCATGGCTATTTGAGCCTAATGGATACTGATCTTTAAAAAATGAGTAGGAAGGTACATTTCCTTTCTTCTAGTATATGCAGCAGGAAGTTGTCTTGATTTAGCTGCTGGATATTTTTCTTCAAATACTAACACATGGCACAGTTAAACCGTAGCCTCAGAGAAGAGTTGGCAGAGGAGGTCCCTGAATTTCAGGGATTTACATGAGGATTCCTTTACCCAGAGGCCTAATACCATGAGGTGATGAGCAGAGGCATAACCAGGCAATTCTGCACCCTGGGCAGTAGTGGTGCATGAGATAGCAGCCAGTCAACACCTCCAGCAACTCCTATTTTTGCACCGCCAACTTAGTTATGCATTTGGTGCTGAAGACAGTCAGCTCCTAATAATATCAGGGAAACTTGAGTGTGATCAGTATGCTACAACATTGGGTCCTCCTATCATACACAGGAAGAGCATATTTATAAATAACAGATAAATCATAAGGAATCTTTCCACCAAGAGAAAGCTCACTCCTGTCCATTCCTTAGTGTCATGGAAAATCCATGGAAGAATTTTGCCACAGGCACACGCTACACTTGTGTTACTGATATTGCTGCTTTTAATATCTGTAACATTGCTGCAGCTATCACTGAACAGCCTTGGTGGCAAAAGAAGAATGCATCTTTTTTTCCATTGCTAAAAAGTTCCTCCAGCATAACTCCTCAGACACAACAAAAAGCTAAAGGATTGCTGTCAGAGAAGAAGTAAAGCCCTCCCAGTTGCTTTACAGGACTGGAGTACTTAAGAAGAACACTAGAAAATATATGCATTAAAGACATGACTCCTGAACTCTCTTATCAATACAAATTATGGATCCTCTTCAAACCTAACAAGTTCTAGTCTTCACCTCCCTAGACATGTGCAGCTCTCATTAACACCAGTGTGAGTACCACAAACAACAGAGATGCCTAATATTTGTGAGTAATTCATAGACTAAATTATTTAAAAGAAAAAATAGCTAGGGTGCTACACCAATTTATGCTTGGTGATGACCTGGCCAATATACTTTACCGTTAGTAATATGCAAAAGCTGGTAGCAGTTTCTTGGTACGTAAGTTTGGGATGGGAGTTTTACCTGTAACAGTAGGCACAAAGCGATCCCAGGAAGAGCAGCAGGAGCAGCACAACTATGCAAACTGTAACTGTGATGTTCCTCATCTTCATTTGCTCCACATGTTGCTTCTCCCACCACTCCAAGTCACTGAACTGACAGCGTTCTCCCACATAACCTGCCACACAGCTGTCAAAGGCAAATGAGATTACTGACTAATAACAGAAAAGGAAAATGTCATTGTTTTAGTCACCTTTGGTATTGATTCATCAATCCTGAGGGAAATTCCTGTAGAATATAACAGGCACAACACAAAAAAGGTTCTACAGAAACTGCTGTAAACCCCCCTATAGAATTGAATAATGAAGGGGATCTTTTTACAATAGAATGTCCCCCGTGGCTTTCCAATTAGCATCTACGAAACAGGGAGTTCAACTTAAAGTTTTGCAAACTAGACAAGGCAATAAGAACGTGTTGAATAATTTAATTAAAGAACACTGACAACCAGATTCATTTTGAAACTTAATTGTTGGTTAAAGACAGTGGAGGAAGAAGAAAAGAGGCATTGCAGAAGCTCTGATAGAAATAACTTTGGGCCCTTCCTTAGTTTTAAGCAACAATTTTTGGTTTGCTCTTTAAGGCACTCCTTCAGTGTTGTGAAAACAGACACAAAAATACATTACTAGCGTCTGAACAAAAATTATAGAAACAGACAAATAAAAGGGAATCTCACCAGTCTGGTTTCATTGTCCAAACTGCGTGATATGCAAAAAAAAAAAGGAAGAAAGCAATACAAACAGTGAAAGGTAAATTGCATTCTTAGAATTATCTCAACGTTAATGATGTAGCATTGAATCCTACTTTGCAAACTTAAATGACTAGCGTTACTAGAGTCATACAAGTGAAGTGAAGAGGATTTGGCCTGTAGCACCTGATCTGAAATTGTCCTAAAACATGTACTAAATCCACACACTTTGTTTCTGTCAAAAAATATGACAAGCTTATGCTCAAATATAGAAAAATACCAAAACGTTTGCAATGTAGAATCACAATATATTCTGTATAAGCCAAACAGATCACTTTGAACCATGAGCACTTTTATCAAATTAAAATGTTTGGTATGTTACTGCTAAATAACACATTTCTCCACAACTGTTTTTATATTATTTCATACTACCATTGTCCTATGTGAATGAATACTGCCATCTAGTGTGCAAAAAAATAATCTTTAAAAATAAACTCTTCCAGATTATATATGGAGGGAGGTAATATTACTCTGAAGTCAGGCAAAAGGCAAGGCAGAGGGATGCCTTATAAACTAATAGTTGAGCACAGTGGAACTTGAATTCATTAAATGCATCCCATTTTGTTTTTCAGTTTTGAAGAACATGTACATTGCAGGCATTTCACTGTATGGTGAACTCTGGATAAAATACAAACTGACCCAATAAAAAGTGAAATTTCTTCAATAAATCTAATAGAAATCCCTAGAAGGAGAAAATATAGCTCTGAAGGATTTTTCACTTCTGTAACAAAATGAAAGCAAATATCAGTTATGAACATAAATATCTAATATTATTGCATCTTCCTTTATAGATCCATGCAGCATGAGCTGTCTGTTCAAAAAGGGCCACAGTACAAAACATTCACTTCATAGGATACAATTCAGGGTACTAAAAAAAATATCTTTCCCTTTTCTTATTTTAACCTTGTAGTACCCAAAAGTGGTTCAGAGGGGTACAGCCTGCCCCTCTCTGCTAACACAGAGAATGTCTGTCAGATGAGCAAAAGGATGGTTTCAGATTAAAAGGGTCATCCAGGAAAAGCCTGGTCCAGAGCCCAAATCCATGAAGTTCCCTGCATGACCACTCAGAGGGGTGTCTGGAGAGCAACAAAGGGAGTTGTCAAAGGAGGAATAATAAGAGAAAAAAAGATCCTTCTGTACATAGACCTTCTGACACTTCACTCCGAGGGTTGTGCTAGGGCTGTAGAAGATACTTCTGACATTATGAGAGGTTCTTCCACTACTGCATAGCCACTTACCCATCTCCCTGCCCCACACAGACACACACACATCTCCTCACTGATCATCTGAAACTCTTGAGGAAGACACAGGTACTATATTTGTCCCGCAATTGTCTATGCTTAGTTTTTAAGTAACCTATAACGAGGCTTCAAGAATGCAATTCTAATTTCTCTTGTATGGTCCAATATATAGTGCATACTAATCTACGTGGTTTTGGAGAAATGTTTAAATCTAGTCATATGGCTGCCTAGTTACATCATTTAGGTTTCCTTTGGAATCTTATCTTGTAACTAAGCTGGGTACTTTCAAGCAGATTCCCCTACAAGAGACAAGACTTGTTAGGTCTCTAACGACTGATTCCCCACTCCTTGGCCTCAGTCAGACAGGGTCTAGACATAGGTATTCACTTGTATCACACAGTATCATGGAGGACTAGCAGTCGTAAACATAAGAAGCAAGCAAAACAGCTAAGGGAGAGATGGGTCACAGCAGGTGTATGGGTGGCAATTGCAGCTAAATAATTATTACTAATAAATACATAAAAACATATGTGCAGAAGGAGAAATGAGGAATAACTATTTATGTAGCCATTACTCCACAAAGCCCTGATTATCACTGTGTTTGGCCACTTACCTTACATAGATTCTGAAACAAATACATACAAAAGAATCAAGTACTCATGCAAGAAATTAAATGCTACTTTTGACTCGAATGTTCATAACTATAATGACCACCAGCGAACTGAATAAAGGTCAGGCTCAGACAACAGTTGCAATGATCAGTAATGCACAGAACATATAGTAAAATATTTTATTGCTTGTTAAGAGGGGGAAACAGAATTGGGGTTAGAAGAGACTTCAAACGTCATGTCGCCCAACTCCCAAGTGCACGTGGCGATATCTGCTATTCATTCGTACAGATGAAACAAAGGTCTGTACTTACTTGCATGCATAGTCTTGTAGATCTGAAACATAAATACAAATTCCCCCATGGAGACAGTAGGAGTCGTGTGACGATGGGCAGCCTATGAATTCATCCTGCGCAGTGGGAGTGGCAATACCCCTGGTACTAGGAGTAGAAGGCACTGGTGATTCTGAAATACAGGATTTACATGCATGCATATCTTGGGGATTGGTTAGACTGACAAAATGGCTTGCTACAAGACCTCAGGAAACAAGTAAGACACTCATCTCAATTAACAGATTGTGATTTGAACATAACACATGATAAAGACAGAACTGTAGTTTACAGTGCTGTTTTGTTACCTTAACATAGCCCTGTCAAACACCAGTCAGCAAGATTTAGGAGGTAAGGGCCATTGGATGAGATACCACGCTTTATACATGCTATTTGGTCTGCTTTGATCCCTCTCAAATAACAGAGTATATTGATGTGTACATGACTATGGACAGAAGTTACACATAAACCAGTATAAGTGACTGGAAACCAGTTCAAATCTCTAACACAACAGAAGTTCAGAGCACATAAACTACTTTCAAAATGGCTGTAACTAATTTAAGATAAACCTGGATGGAAGTAGGCTCAAACATATCTGATTTAGGTTAAATCAGTTTATTGAAATTCTGACCCAGATCCCTTCTCCATTCAAATTAACGCACAGAATCCCAGGATGCTTTGCACCTTCCCTGCAACTCTCCCCCTTGCAGGGTGGGCAGGCTAGCCTTAGCCAGAGCTGTCTGCTCCAGCCAAGGAGGGAAGTGTGCTCTAGTGTCCTTCAGCTTCTGGCCTGGACCACTGCAGGCATGTGGCTGCATTTCCGAAATCAAAAGTGAATGTTCACTTGCTTATTGATTCAATCTATGCAGCTTAAACTAACCTGTGAAGATTGAATTGATTTAGCCTCAGACTTTTTGACTGTCTGTACTTAGCCCATGTGTATAAATAACAGATTCACTTGGGTGGATGGTTGTACTTCCACATACATGTGGAAGACATACTAGCTGCATCTGTGTCAATACACCTTGGATCTCTGGTTACCTAAAGATTCAGAGGTCCCTTGAACTTCCAGAAAATTAAGTCAGGCAACTGGGGAAATTAAATCTCCATACAGTCATATTCCACCAGAAACAGTCTCAGAGGGACCTACAGTTACTATAATGAACTTCCATCATGAATGATATCTTGAAGTTAGACAAACTCCATAGGGCTGGCTGTGTGTTTCACACCTAAGGGACTCATCCTACCAATTTTCACAGGAAAGCTGCATTTCTTTCTCAAGTGAATCTATACTGGAGTCAAAGTATCACTGGAGCTTGCATACCTGAGCTTTTTTAAAGATACATAGCAACAATAATAGTATAGTTGTGGCAAGGCAGAGCTCTATGTGGTTCAACCACTTAAGTGTCTGCTTGCAGGGTTACTTTAGCAGTCCACATTAAGTTTTCTGTTACACTTGTACCAGTATAGGCTGACCAGTTTAAAGCCAGCTCAGATAAATCTACATAAGCTATACCTACACTGCCAGGAGTACAATTCTGGGTTCATTTACTATGTGAAGATTATTTTTCTATGGAAAGTGTTGTAGTAGGGTTATAATAAATTTAGGCATTGCCCAGACAGCTGCATAGTTTGTCAAGCACTTGTGAACATAGCGCATCTTGTAAAACACAGATCTGTACCCATGCTGCCAGAGAACTGGTTTTAATTTATTTTTGTGTCTTTTCTCCTCACCTACATTAATTTCATAACATATACACATGGAGATCGCACTTGTATTTTAATGTAGGTGTAAGGATATGATTGGGTAGCATTATATACCTCTACTTCAGCACAGGTTCTTGATAGCATCTACGACTTACTATAGGGTTTTTGCACTGTGATCTGTAGTAGCAGTGATGATTTTTTTTTTAAATTGAAAGTAGTCATGACATAGAACATACATGGAAAGAAACAACTTATTTCTACATTTGGGCTCCATGTGTGATTAAAAAGGGTGACAATAATATTCGCAGTAAATAAGCATGTAAAATAGCAGGTTAGAACATACCAACATATTAGAGCAAGTTGACAATTTGAAGTCTTTAAAACACCATTCCTAAATCAGATGTTATTTCAAGTCAAAGTTTCTCAGTTACAGCTCAAAGATTAAATCCCTGAAGGAGGGGATGAGATCCTGCACTGTATCCTACATTGAAACTTTCATTGAGGTCACTGTAGGCATAGACTTTTGATAGTTTTACACAATTTTTTCTGGCATACCAGCAAAACGGCTGTAGAGTGCCAACACAAAAACAATGAATGATTTAGTTGCATATTTTTCAAAACAGCTCAGCTCTCATTTACCCAGCTATATAAGGGTCACATATTAGGAAGTGTTCAGCTTTTATCGGCTCCCTTTGTGAAATGTATGGCCAGATTCTCTGAACAATTTAGCAGCCAAGACACAGAGCTCTTCTGCAAATCTGGCCATTTATATTGGTAAATTAGTGGGAACAGAGCTCACACGAAAATCTGGCCAAGAAACTCTGCTTGTTCTGGGGGGCAGGGATGGTAGCTGAAATTATATGCCAGACTTTTGCTGGCCTTCTGCAGAAGGTCAGAAACCATGGATAGCCTGAAAAGTGACTTAGCACAGTGAATCTGAGCTGACCTCAGAAAAGGAGCATAGTGTTACCCCTAAAAAGACTACAGACAGCATTAGTTACACATTATTAAAATTAGAGAATGGAAATAAGATCTGATCATCAGTGCCGATAGCTTCAAACAAAAGGAATCAAATCCCAGGCTTTGTGAAACCTGGTCTCCTCAGCCCATCTCTACAGAGGAATGTTCAGTTTGCAAAACAGCAGCATCCAGAACCAATCCAATTAGATTCACTTGCTGCCTGGTGTATTATTATTCAGCAACTTTTGAATTTCCCAGTGCAACTAATCTGTCTCAGCACTCGATCTTCCTTCATCAAGAACCACATTATTTAGCTCATTTACTAGCTTTACTCACCAGTACAGTCAGCCCCAGTTCCAAACAAACCATTGGTGCAAATGCAGGTGTAGTTTCCTTCAGTGTTTATGCAGATAGTATTTTCCCCACATGTGTGGATCCCCAGCTTGCATTCATCAATATCTGTTACCCAAACAGGTTTCAATTATAAGAATGAATGCCTCAAAATATCAGTCTAATAGTGGCCTCAGCTTTACAGCTTCCTACCACCAGGAAAAATGCTCCAGTTTTCCTCCATAAACTACCTTCAGCAGTGAGTGGAATGAAATAGCTGGAAGTGTGAGGTGGCCAGGTAATCGCACCTTTGCCTGCACCTCGAGGGAGGAGGGATTCTCTTCCACAACGGGAAGAAAGAAGCAGCATCTCCCATAAAGGTAATGGACCGAGACAAGAAGAGAGGCAGGAGACGACTTTAAAACGCAGTCTATACAAGAATGTTTTCTCTTAATATTTCCCATCACTGCTATGCCTATTCCAGCTTCACTAGTGATAGTTAGTAACAACTGGAGTACTAGGGTAGAGAAGCCATTGGTGTTGTAATCCTGTGTTGTCCCAACCTTGTCTAATCTGGTTAGACAGGATGCTTTTACATGTGCTCTGGGAGGGATGGGGGGGGGGCTGTAATTAAAGTGCCTGGAGCATCTCATGTATCAGCATCCCTGTGCTTCAAAATGGCAGTGGAGGCGCTTTATCTAAAGCTCTTCAAACGCGCTTTCGTTAAAGCGCCCCACCACCATTTTGAACCATAGGGACGCTGATACATGAGATGTGGAGGCTGGCTGGAGTTCAGTAATTACCATGCTCCCGCAGGCTCGATTAATTGAGTAATCACAGTGCATTGGCACAGCCTCGGCGCTCCTGTACAGGCACCCAAAGTGTTTAACAACCTGGCAGCTAGTGCACCAAGAAATGCTTAAATCCATACAGAATGTTACACAGTCTAAGGACCTGTTCAGTTCACATGCACTTTGACTTAACACCTGAATGTTGAGGTGAATCTATCACTACTTTATGCTGTCAGTAAAATGCATATGTCAAGTTTAATATAGGGCCATGAACCTAATCTCACAGTCCTAACTCATGTTAAATTCTTATTGAAATCTTCTCAGGTTTTGCCTGAGTTAAGTCTACTAGACCAAAGTTAAAGTATCACGGGGAACTCAAAGTAATTCTTTAAAAACCAAATTACAGGAAAATATCCTCAGTAATGTGAATGCAACAAAACATTTCTGGTGACTTCTGCAGTGTCCCTT